TTGTTGCTCACCCCTAATTGCCCTTGGGAAGGTGGAGGTGAGTTGCCTCCTTCAACCGCTGTGATCTTGAGATGTAGGGAAATCATTAGTTCTTCTAAGAAGGGAGTTACAAGATTTTGAGCCAGCGACAGGGAATGAATCATGAAATAGTTCCAAGTCAGGATGGTGTGAGGTTTGATGGGGAGTTTGCAGATCATGGTGCTCCTCTGCATCTGTTTCTTTTGGGTTCAGAAGGTGCTATTGGAGGAGTCTTGGTGAGATATAAATTTATACAACATGGAAACATGCCTAAAAAAGGCTGCAGTGCATCTTGTAGATGTTGTGCACTGCTACCAGTATGTGCTGAAAGTGGAGGGAATGAATGTATAAGGATGTTGGATGCAATACTCATCAGGCAAGCTGCTTTGGCCTGGCTGGTTTTGAGTATTGTTGGAGCTGCAGCTACTCAGGCAAGTGAAGAGCATTCTATCATACTCCTGATTTGTCCCCTATAATGGTGGACAGGCATTGGGTAGACAGGGGGTGAGCTATTCAGAGCAAATTTCTAGCCCTTGATTGCTTTTTTAGCTACAGTATTTATATAGCTGTTCTAGTTTAGTTCATGTTTAATTGTAATACCTAGTATATTGAAAGTGGGGTATTCAGCAATGATAATGGTGTAGTGTAGTATAGATTCCATTTGATTAGAGGTACCTTTGAGACAGTTTCACGATCGCACGATTTGTCATGTCTGAGTATAAAGATTTTTGCCTTGCCTTCAGTCACTATCTGTGTAATGAGTAGTCTTCAGTCAGTCAACTATGTATATTTAATATAGAGTAACTTCAGTAAGCAGTGAATCCAGACTCTGTGTGTAAATCTGTGATATTAGAGCACTGTAAATAAATGACGTTGTTAGTAAACTCCAAGGTATCTGATTCAAAAAAAGCCCAAGCTTCATGATACAGGTTACACAGACTACCATGTAGAAAACCACAAAAATTGCCACTGAATATCAAGAGAAAGATAATTATACCCTCTCATGAGATAGAGTGATAGAGTCATACAGCACAGAAACAGACCCTTTGGTCTAACTCATCTGCGCTGACCAGACATCCCAATATGACCTAGTCCTATTTTCTAGCATTTGGCCTATATCCTTCTAAACCCTTTCTACTCATATACTCATCCAGGTGCGTTTTAAATGTTGTATTTGTACCAGCCTCCACCACTTCCTCTGGTAGCTCATTCCATACATGCACCATCCTCTGCATGAAAAAGTTATCCCTCAGGTCCTTTTTAAATTGTTCCCCCCTCTCACCTCAAACCTATGTCCTCTGGTTGTGGACTCCCCCACTCTAG